GCCAACAGCTGAAGATCTGGTTAGGGTTAAGGGGACTGTAACCCTTCAGGTAGGATGTTGATCAAATGTCTGAGAGACACACCTGAAGAACATTTAGAGGTTTTCAGCAGCTTGTCCTGGATTGTGGACATCAATCTTGTGGATGAACTGTTCTTTTGGAGGACATTAGTTGGACCCTTGAGGACATAAAAAACCATTTCTGTTCTGTCGGTGACACGAGGCTCTGACCACCGAGCTAGATGTCATCTCAGGCTGGTTTCTGCGTCTGCTCCTATGATGTCATCACGCTGCATCAAACGCTGGTTTGAGTTCAGCTGCTGTGCCTCGTCACACACCAGCGGGTTCACAACCTACAGGGTTGGAGCGATCAGACCGGCTTAGAGGACGCCGCCGTGTGAAAGCTCACCGGTACCGCGCAGCGCGGGTTCACAGGCCAGACGACGCGCTCAGGCCTGCTTTACTGCTGTGTCTTCAAAAAGAAATGAGATGTCGTGATGACGTGGAGAGCTCAGGCTGGTTGAGAGGAGCCGTTTGGTGGCTAACGGCTGCACGTGTGTGTGTCAGAGAGCACTGAGGTCAAAGTTCAACCAAACTGAAGTCTTTGCTGCTTTTGGTGTGCAAGTCCATTAAAGCCTCCTCCGAACAGGACCATGGCCCCATCCCCCGAGCAGCCTGAGGTCTGCGGCGAGGAGTCTACCCGACCAGTAAAATCTGAACGCGTTCATCTCTTCAGTCCCTGTCCTCCTAAAGCTCATCAAACACAGAAGCACCCTGCAGAGTCTAACTATTCAAACCGACGTCTAAACTCTTTTATTGCGCCCTAAAGCCTCTGAGTACGCTCAGGAGCTCCTTCTCCCTCACTCGGGTCTTTTCTTTGTTAATTACAGACCTGTGCTAGTTCTCCCATGTCACCGTGACATCCTCTGTTCAGCTGCTGACGACGCGGTGACCTCTGACCTCTGGGCCTTGTTTAGTTTGAGTCCTGAAGCTGCCGACCTGCCTGCACGCGGCTCCTTCGTGTGACGTAAAACCAACTCGGATCGTTAAACCGGACTGATTTCCAGCTCACTTCCTGCAGCCACCACGTAGCTCGTGCTCTGCCTGGGAGCAGGAGTTCTGTAATCAGCTCTGTTATTGTGCGAGCCTGCCGGCGGGGCCGCGGATAATAGTCTAGTGCACACGTGCAAACACGAGGTGAAGACGTGCAGGGCCTGGTGGCATGTGGAGGGCTCCACTGGTCCTCTCTCTTACATCCCGCCTCAGGCTGTTGCTGTTTTCTGTCTCATAAACGTTAAACTGCATCGGTGCAGAGCTTCTGTAGATCAGCTATGTGTTCTGTGGTTTGGGATTGCTTTAGAGGTCATCGATGACTGCTTCTGTCTGAGAACACCACGAGAGCACGCCACACATCTTACTTAATGTTAGGGGCAGAGCAGGTCGACCCGTCCAGCGGGTTCTGCTGTTGTGTCCTTGGGCAAGACGCTTCACCCAGCCTGCCTGTGTTGGTGGGGGTCAGAGGGGCCGAGAAAAGCTCAATATAATATATTGGGGCGGCAGTAGCTCAACAGGTGGAGCGGGTGGGCCAGTAATCGCAAGGTTGCAGGTTCAATCCGCCCTCCGGACAGAGAATTTTGCTGCTGTGCCCTTGGGCAAGACACTTAACCCACCTTGCCTGCTGGTGGTGGTCGGAGGGACCGGTGGCGCCAGTGCTCGGCAGCCTCGCCTCTGTCAGCACGCCCCAGGGCAGCTGTGGCTACATCGTAGCTCATCCCCACCAGTGTGTGAATGTGTGTGTGAATGGATGAATGATACACTGTAGTGTAAAGCGCTTTGGAGTCCTGACTCTGAGCGGCGCTACAATAGTGCGGGTCATTTATCATAAATCTGATCCGTTCAAACAGAAGAGCTGTGTGCGCAGAACCGCGTCCGCCTCCGGACCCCACGTCTGGCGGGACAAACCGTTTACACGGTGACGCATGCAGATGTTTGAGATGGGCGCACGTGGAACAGGAAGTGTTGGGTTTACAGGAAGAGCGTCGCTGCGTGATGTCGTCTGCAGGCATCGATGCGACAGCAGGTTCAGTCGTCACAGAGGCGACCCAAACGGTGACGGGTGAGAAGGAGCTCTGTAGCCACAGCGCTGCAGGACGTCCGCGTGCTCTCTTCTTCTTGTGTCTGCGTTGCTGTATTTACTCAGCATCGCCACCTAGTGGCTGAAGACGTCTCAGCCGTGGAATTAAGCCTTCTAGTTTAGCTTCTCGTTAGCTGAACAGATGTTAAAATGTTGAAGCTGCTGTAGAGCCTGGTGAAGCCCTGACCTAAACCCTTAGGAGTGAAGAGAACAGACGTGTTCTTCTGCGACTGTCTGGGGGATGAAATCCCGTTAAAGGCAGCTGCACTGATGATGGGCGTTGTGTTGATGCCCCAGCAGAACCATCACAGTATCAGTACTTCTGCAACTCCCACACTTACACCCCAGCTGATGCTCAGTGGTACGAATGTAAAACCATCACCATCATCACTGACACATCTCATTTGGAATGGAAACATGTGACGGACCTTTGACCTGCAGCTTGAACAGGAAACGTCTGACTGGCCGAGGTAACAACAGCTAAAGCTGGACTGGGCACAAGGTTTCTTCACAAAGGAAAATGAA